AACTCTTCGACTAACTTTTAAGTAAGTTATTATTTTTATGACTTCTGTATTATAAAACGACATGTAATTAAAGGCTTCAAATATATTGAATGTGTTGAGAGTAGATTAGTGTACAACACGTGAATTTGGGATTATCGGCACATTACTTTGATTTCATAAGGATACATTTAATTTTTAATTTCAGATTAAAAATGTATTACAAATATCAAGTGATTGTTTCGACACTCGTATTATGTGGTGTATTGTGTTTGACCGCCGCGTCCACCCAACAAAACACCGCAACTCAAAGACAGGGTGTTGTGGGACCGGCTTCTGGAGGAATACTCAGCACACTTGGCTCACTCGTGCCCGGAGTCGTATGTTTTGCTTATATCCTATCATCACTTAGTTTTTCTATCATTTTTTTATATTAAATATAATTCATTTAAAAATTCCTTTATATAAAGTATTACTTCATCGGTAGTTATAAAAAATTTCAAAGCTTCAAATTACAATAACTTTATTTCAAAATATTTCGCCACAAATGTTAGGAAATTATTTTGAAAGTTGAAAATATAGTTTTATACTTATATAAAATTTTATAATACAAGCTACTTATTTGAAGTTTAGTAGTTTAAACCCAATATTAAAATCAATAATTTTGTTTAGGTGTCTAATCTGTTGCCAATGGTATTTCTTTTTGGATTGGGAGCGCTTATGGTTCCGGCATTAGGTAAGTGAACAATAGTTTATTACTTTATAAATTCAAAAAAAACATTAATTGAATTCTTTATACTCCAATGAATAGGTTTAGGATTACTGTTGCGAGAGGGGAGACGGAGGTAAGGCTAAACAAAAACTACTAACAAACTAACCCAAACTAAAATAAATAAAACCAATATTTAGTGATCACTATTACTACAGGTCTTTCCCATCATTTAATATCAACACATCTGCTATAATGGAAGGAGCTTCAGATGTCTTTGAGAAAGTGATGAAAGCACTCGACAATGTGGACAAGAAGTACAATTAGATCTATTTATTGGCCATTGAATTTAAATCAACAAAACTCACAGCAATTCACTTCAAAATTACATGTCTTTAAAGAAATTACAATTAGATTCGGAAGAAATGTTAGATCGAGTTCTTTACCACCGAAAGCTTTTGATACAAATTTGAATTTATAAAACATACGATTATTTATTCTAGTAACTTATTGATACAAAATTCACTCATTTCCCAGTATCCATCAATATTTTATTGTTTATACCCTATTTATTATAATTTATTAACAAATAATTTATTTAATTTATGGCAAAATTCATTTTTATTAAATATCTATTAGTTATAGAGAGCTATTTTAAAAATCTATTTACTATTTCATAACTTTGTTATTATTTAGTTTTAAAGTATAAATTTAATTTTATTAAAGAAATAAAAATTTATATGAAACTCACCGGTAATGATAAACTTTTAAAATACAATTTAAGATTGATTTTAAACACTGCAACCATTTTTACTGAAATGAAACAACTTTTTCATTGAAACAATTCTTATGCTTTATATAAGTTTAGAAATCAATACCTTTGTAACTTTATATGATAAAACATATTGTAACTAAACCGCTTAATTAAGTATTAATTAATGATAAGTAATGCATTTTCTTTGTATAAACAGATTTAATCAATAATGATAGATTATATCTTAAAGTACTATTAACTCAAATATCTGACTAATGTTATAAATTCTATTAATGTCTCTATTTATAAACAGCATTTTGTAATTGTTTCATATACAAAACATATTAATTTTGACCTTATCTTATAGAATATTTAAATTTTGTTAAATATGTGTTTTATTTTTCTAACTAATTTGTAAATGAGAGGCGAAAAGCAAACATTTATTTCAATAAATGAATAAAAAAAAATTACTTAAACGGAAGTCATGCTTTAAAATTTATTGATTTTTCTAAAGATTTTAAGTTTTAAATTAATGATACTTTTTGTGTTTATATCAACACAATAAACTATATAACAAACAAATCAATATTTTCCATTATATTCTTAACAATACAATACATTTCTTGATTTTTGTCTTCCCTTATATATAAAGAAGCAAAAAATTGTCTCATTTTTATTCAAAATGATTTTTTGTCATTTGAATTACTTTTTAAAAATATAAAATTTAATTTTAAAAATTTTTATATACTTCGATGTTTGTGTAAAATTAAAACAAAATATATATAACATAAAACAAATATTATTATTAAAAAATTTATGATTTTATAACAAGTTTGAGCTAAAATATTAACAATTTATAATTACAAATTATGTTTAAGCTTATTAAAGTTTTTCTTTTAATATTCATCACATCTTTTGCAACAAAATCATCAGTTTTGGGTCTTACAAGAAATGATTCAAAAATAAGCCAAAGATCTTCAGATGGATTTTACAGTGCACCCAATGGACTCGACAGACAATATCCAGGAGATTTATCATTCTTACGTAAATATTTAAATATATAAAAATTTATAATATTTGTATTATATTAAAATAATTTCTTTGTAATATAGTTCCACATCTTATTGTTGGAGTTTTCATTCCAATTGCAGTCATTATAGGCATTGGAGTTGTTTTGATGAAACTTTTTATCATTGGATTTATGTTATTGGGAAGAGGTTTGTGAGTTGTATATTATGATAAAAAATTAATTACATATATAATTAATATAAAGGTGGTTATGGATTTGGACAAAGTATGGCTGGTTATTATCCGTGGAGGGCTGACCAACAACAACAACAACAGCATACATCGAGATCATTGTATAACAATGAGGGCTCAGAAGTTCCCAGTTATTTAACTTCTACTCTTTGGACTCTTATAGAGAAAGTCTCAAAATCGTTGGAAAAATATGAAAAGTATAAAGTTTAAGCAAGTCTCATTTATTAATCAAAACATAACTTATTTTCGATAACATTTATAAATCATATTCAATTATATTATATTTTTCACTAAACAACTGCTAATTTGTTAAATATATTTAATATTATTAACACAATAATAATGGCAATAAATAAATGAATTTTAATTAGTGTTAGAGTCGATGAATAAATAAATTGTTTTCATAAATAAGATGACATGAAATGTTGATATGATCAGGGCCATTGTTTACTCGGCATCAATATCTATAGTTTCGATGGAATCGTCATTGATTTCATTTTCGAGCTCTTCTTCAAACTTTTGCATCTTTTCGACCGCTTTTTGGAAATTATTGAGAATTCGGTGCAAATTGTCGGCCCATCCAGAGATGGGGGATCTCTTCTTGCGTTTGATTGAATTGGATTCAATTGAACTCACTTTTGGGCCCAACTATTGACCAAAAATATATAAGACATGATTGAAGATTATGAACGAAATGACAAAACATTGAATTGAGTCTTACATTAGAGACGGATGAGAGGAAGAGGAGGAAAAGTGCGGGCATTGCTATGTTGGTCAACAAACTTGACTTTTCCCACTCGTTGGGCAACAGGGATGAGACATATTGTCGAGCAGTTCGAGCCATAAATCCGATTGAGTTCTCCTTTGACTCTTCCTCACGATTGCCATTGTTTTTGGCAAAACTCAAACCAATGACTAAAAATAGCATAATTGCCAAAAGTTTCAATATTTTATTGATAAACATAATTATAATATTTGAAATCTGTATTCCGATTCTTGTTATATTCAAAATTGAGACTCAAATGATGTAAAGGAAAGAAGTATTCCTCTTATTTATATGAATTAATATCTAAATAAAACCTGTTTTTCAAAACTTGTAAGTGATTAACATTTATTTCTAATTAGATATATCAGTAAATATCTATAGACGTATACATGGCTTGAATTATGTTGTACTTAAGAGATTATAAGTGCAATTTTTAATCAGCATTATTAAAAATTAACAGGAAATTAAGTTTAATTGTCATTAATTTTAAAAATAAAAAATGTTTGTCACCAAATAAAATATATTTTAAAATTACTTATGTGTTTAGGAAGTTGTTATGTTTGCAAACAAATCCGTTATTTAAAAGGCAAGTTAGAGGCATAATATAGGGTGTCATTGACCTTAACATTGAATTATTGAGAAATTTTGCGCAAAAATCTTGTTTAGAAAATGAATTCAATTGAAGATCCAAATAAATAAACAAATTTTGTGTAAAAAAGCGATTATAAATTAAAATGAAAAATCTTTTATAAATTTTATAGTTAATAAATTTTATTAACTATAAAATTACCAATTAAGTTAGAAATATATTTGATAAAAAAGATTTAGAAGTTATATTTACTGTAATTATATGCCTTTTATAATTGACTTTCTGATAATATAAATGAAATTCATAAATAATATGATTAATTACATAAAGTACTGCTTTATTGTAACTAATATTTTATAACAATTGTATTGAATAACAATAAATTGTTTAAAGTGAACATAAATGATAACGAGTATGAAAGTGAATGAACTGGATCAATTAGATTGAAGGCACGTTTTCAAAGAGATAAGAAACAGATTCTCCGCTATATATGCGATGAATGGCATCTGCGAAGACAGGGCTCACGTCAATCACATCCAGTTTTAGACATCGCTTTTCATTGAATTCTTTCAGCACTGTATTCGTGACGACAAGTCTCTCCAATTGGGAGCTATTGATTCGTTGACATCCATTTCCACTGAGCACTCCATGCGTTACTCAGGCATATATTCTGGTGGCGCCCGACTCCTTCAGTTTGTCAGTGGCTTTGACCAAAGTATGGCACGAGTCGGCCATATCGTCCACAATGATCGAGGACTTGTCCCTCACATCTCCCACTAATATTGTTGACTCGATTTGCTTTAAATGATTCTTCTGTTTATGAATTATAGCTAAATCTAACCCCAGTTTACTTGCCATAGAAGTGGCTCTTTTAGCTTCGCCGGCATCTGGAGAGACAATGACCGCAGTCTTCCAGTTAGGGATCAATTCTTTTATGTATTTCATAATCAATGGCTCAGCAAATAAGTTATCGACACCTATATTGAAAAAGCCTTGGATTTGAGGTGACTGTTAATTATAATAAGCACAACTCATTATTAAAGCTAAAAATATTGAAAATAAATAAAATTATTCTTTTGTTAGTTAATCTAATAAAGTTATTTTGGTATTAAATAGTTTTATAAGTTGCTTATACACTATAATACTAAATACAAATTTCTCTAATTCATGTTTTCTGATATACAGATATTGTATAATAATATCATATTATTAATTATTAATATGCTATTCTTGATATCTAAATGAATAATAAGTATTAGAAAGTTAATGAATACATGTAAGTCCATAGTGAGGACACTGTTAATGCCGGACACTTGCATCAAATTAGCCAACAGTTTACATGTGATGGAAGTTCGCAACGACTTCCTCTTAGTTTGTCTCGAATACGGAAAATAAGTCAAAACAGCAGTTATTTTGTGAGAAGAAGACAATTTGCAAGCGTTTGTCATAATCAAGAGCTCCATTATGTTGTCATTTATATTACAATTCTTTGATTGAATAATAAATACATGTTTTTCACGAATAGATTCGTTGATCTCGAAAGCAGTTTCACTGTCTGGATGTCGACTCAAATTAGTATTTGTTATCGACATTTGAAGTCTTTCGGCCACTTTTAAGGCAAACTTCTTATGTGTAGAGCCGCTAATTATTTTCATTTACAACTTTTTCAAATAATAACAAATAATTGAGTTTTTGTGTAATTAACAAACAGTAATTTGATTGTCAACGACAAAATTAGCTTTTAAATTGCTAAAACTGTAAAATATAATTTGCTATTATCTAAATATAGAGTTATTAACGTGCTGTTTGAATATCAAATTGTTATATTAACATATACCTGTAGTATTGTTTATTGTTGATAACAAATGAATTGTAATCTACGGTAATAATTTTTAATGTTTATCAATTAAGCTCGGTAATTTAGATTCTTTTGAGATTCTAGATTGGTAATGCATAATTTATTTATTCCCCATGTTATTTCTGTAAAATGATTACACTAATTTATTTGACTATAAATTATGGTAATGACTTAAGAAAATCTAAAAAATTATTTCACAAAAACATGTCTCAATTGTAATAAAAAATTGCGAAAGAGTGATAGGATTCGTGATTACAGTAGGAATTCATAAAACAGATGATTAAATCGATTGATGCAACAAAGAGGTCGAAAGCATTATAATTGATATTTTATTCACTGTCTGGATGTCGACTCAAATTAGTATTTGTTATCGACATTTGAAGTCTTTCGGCCACTTTTAAGGCAAACTTCTTATGTGTAGAGCCGCTAATTATTTTCATTTACAACTTTTTCAAATAACAATAAATAATTGAGTTTTTGTGTAATTAACAAACTGTAATTTGATTGTCAACGACAAAATTAGCTTTTAAATTGCTAAAACTGTAAAATATAATTTGCTATTATCTAAATATAGAGTTATTAACGTGCTTATTATTAACGTTTTTAATATCAAATTGTTATATTAACATACACCTGTAGTATTGTTTATTGTTGATAACAAATGAATTGTAATCTACGGTAATAATTTTTAATGTTTATCAAGTAAGCTTTGTAATTTAGATTCTTTTGAGATTCTAGATTGGTAATGCATAATTTATTTATTCCCCATGTTATTTCTGTAAAATGATTACACAAATTTATTTTACTGTAAATTATGGAAATGACTTAGAAATTCTAAAAAATTATTTCACAAAAAGATGTCTCAATTGTAATAAAAAATTGCGAAAGAGTGATAGGATTCGTGATTACAGTAGGAATTCATAAAACAGATGATTAAATCGATTGATGCAACAAAGAGGTCGAAAGCATTATAATTGATATTTTAATGTCTCAATTGTAATAAAAAATTGCGAAAGAGTGATAGGATTCGTGATTACAGTAGGAATTCATAAAACAGATGATTAAATCGATTGATGCAACAAAGAGGTCGAAAGCATTATAATTGATATTTTGCCCTGATGCGAACTTTTAACAGAATACTTTCTAATGCTAAAATCGAAAAAATGAATTTTATTAGACATTGTATGCAAATCTTTAGGAAATCTCTTAAACTAATAGACTTTAAAAACAAATAAATGCAACAAAAAAGAAAGTCTGCGTTGAAATCATTTCTTTGTGATAACTCATGCAATGAATATGATCTTTAAATTGAAAAAATTTGATAGACATTTGCATTGAATTTGGGAGATGTTTGTAGTGTTACCCACCTTTCCATCCGTTTTTACAGATAAACCACAGGCTTTAGTCACCCAAAGGCCGGACAAATGCAAACTAAACGCATTCTATTGTCATATTAAACATTTGTCTTACAATTGAATTACAAGTGAAATGTTTTTCGACACGCAGTCAATGGTTTGTTATCAAAAGTGATGAAAGGATTTTCACATTTAGATCTCATATAATAGAGCAACTGATCCATAGTTTATGACAAAATACTAGAATTATTTGTACTTTATATCGGTTTGTTTTGTCCATTTAAGTCGATTTTGTAGACAAGTCGAGAAATTTTTGATGGATTCAAATTTGACTCGTATTTCATTATTTTATTCTTACTCTTATGAGAAACACATAATTTCTACAACTGTTGAAAATTAATTTAAATTATACCTACACTAACATTTAATTATTATCATAAATTTAACTTTTACTAAATTATTTAGAAAACTATGAAAACAATTTAGAATTTGTATCATTTCTAACTTTACTTTTTATAAAATAAATCAATTTATTAAAATGTTGTTCATGTTATTCACAATTGGATTTTTTGTGAGTCATTTGTGTCCATCAATTAGTGCTCAGTCGACGACTGCATCTTATTATCAATCGGATGGTTATACTAATAATGACTATCAATATCCGCGATCCAAGTATTACTACTTTTTGACTCCAAGAACTCAGGCCAGAGAACTGCTTCAACCGTCAGACTCTTATGTGGAGGATAGAGGATATGATTCGTGTAAATTTGGATACTTTTCACATACAATCATATAAACCATTATTTGTATTAATCGATTATTTTTTAGATGAAGGATATGAGGCTAAATGGCCGTCCAAAGTAGTCCACCAACAGCCAAGTAATCAATCAAATTGGAAATGGTTTAATCAACGCTAATTATAGAGTATTTTGTTACAGTCCACGTCCATCACCAGGAAGCTGCTCCCTATCACAAGGAAAAGAGTGATCACGGATACCTTTTGCCGTTACTTCTCTTAGCATTATTACCCTTTTTCATCGGAGCTCTCGTTTTGTTGCCGCTTTTGTTTTGTAATACATTTTCTTCAATTAACTCTTTCATTCATTTTTTTTATAATTTATGTTTATATTCCACTTAATATTTAAATAGCGTTTTTTACAAATATTCTCCAATTATTGGCATTAATTCAACAGGTTAGTTGTTTACAAATTATTTAAATTTACAATATCGTATATAATTATATAACAGATTTACATTTATCAGGGAAAATCTCACTTACAATCATAAAGCACAATAATCTTTATATTACAGCACAATACAGCTTTGTATACATCGGAGCTTATAAATAAGTTATTTTTTTTGGATCTTCACAATTTACAATTATTGCAAATTGTAAATAACAACTAATCATTAACAGATGTGCCTTAATTTAGTTGAACTCAATTCATATAGATCTAAATTACTTTTCATAAAAAACAAATATTTGATGTATTTTTTAGAAAATGTTAAGTACATAATTGACTTACTTTAATCAAACTCTATAGAAATGTTAAGTCTGCATATTTCCTGTGCTATAATAAATTAGTATATCAATTAATATTTTGAGAATAATAATGATAATTTTTAAAAATCTATAGATTGACTCATTAAATATATTTAAATATTTCACTTGTTATATAGAAAATTAAGACTAATATTGATATATTAGTCTTAATTAAGAATGCAAAAATTACAAATACACGTTATTCCTTGTGAAATATATTTGAATAAATATTAATATTAATAAATATGTTATTTGTTGTACAGAACATCAATAGCATGAATACGGGACAGAATACAAATGTTGGGGGTAGGAAAAGGAGGAGTGATGAAGATATTAATCCAATCCTTACCACAACCATATCATCATTAATTGACAAATTCATGGCATCACAGAATAAATTTACTGACAAATAAAAATATTAAGATATTTTTATTTTAAAATTTATATAGAATCACTGAATAGAATCTCACAACTTTAAAAGTAATAGAGATTTTTGATTACAATTGTAAATTTAGTAAATATTAGAGTTATTGATAATATTTGAATAGATACATCACTTATTTGTCTGAGGTCTTTGATAGTGAATTTATTTATTTTACAAAATATTTAAAAAACAATAGAATGTTTTGCATACAGTATAAATAAAAGGCAATTAATGATTTAGTTATACAGTAAGTTATTAAATATAACTAAACACAAGATAATATACTGTAACATGACATAACAAAACTACTGATAATTTTACATATATCTTGCTTTTTATATAAATGTCTGATTAGTGAGTTTTGGAAATATTAATTTTATGATTAATTTAATACCATTGTTACATAATTGCAAAATTAAATTATAAAAACAGCAAAATATATGTAACTTTAAAGCAAATGATTTTTTAGATTATTTAAAAATAAATAAAAAATAATACATAATTATAATATAACAGTATTTTCAATCAAAATTTCAGGTCAATGAATAAAATGTATTTTTAAACAAAGAATACTTTTTTGTAAATTTTGATTTTATTAAAGATAAAGTCAAATAAGTCTAAAAATGATGAGATGTCTGCCTATGTCTAAAACATAGCAATCATTGTAATGCAGACTCTTTGGGTTATTTTGATTAAAAAAAATGTTCAAAACTTAGTTAAAAAATTAATGAACGCCTCATTGATCTGATAATAATTAGTTTGGATATAAAACATCTGATTGTGATCACCTGCACACAGACACAGGTATCGGTGCATTTGGTGGTGGGATCTGACAGGAGGTCAATATGGAATTTCCTACACTTTCATAGTTGGATGATCTGAGTCTTTAGGATGGATTTGTTTACTGTATAACAACCACATTATAATTATCGGCACTCTGTTCACAGTTTTTTAAGATTAAATTTTTTGGATTTCCGCTCATTTTCTCACATATAAAAGCCTTGATTTCTAAAAAGTCTGTTCAAAACTTATACCAAATCATCGATAATTGCAGTAATGTATTAGAAATGTATTCCAGTGTCTATGAAATCTGATAAATTATTGAATGTGATATCCAGTAGATTTATAAAGTGATACAAAATGCTACTATTCGTGGGGAATATGTTCATTGTTTCGACAATTTTCTCCATATTATTAATTTGTGAAACAAAAGCTGATTCAGAATCCACTCATTCCTCTCATTCTTACACTAAAGATGAGCCCAAAGACGACAGAAAGCGTTCGTCAGCTTCTGATTACTGGAGGAATCATAACAATTATGTTAACTATTTGTACGCCAAGAATCGTGAGTCCAAGTCTAATAATGAGCCCTATTTTTCTGAGCCTAATAATAATAATGACGGGTAAGAATTTGTTCATTTTGAAATATATAAAATAGAAATATTTATTTTTGGTCTATAATAAAGATCTTAAAG